TGCTAGCCTTAGTTCCGTATCTGCCTTAGCTTTCCTAACAGCTCCCCTACAGACCCGAGCAGAGGAGGTATACTCCTCTTTGGTGATAGCCCCTCCCTTCCACTGGGTGTATGCCTCCTTTCTGGCAATCAGGCATTCATAAATGCCTTTGGTGAGTCAGGGGGACTTTTGGGCACTCTTACCCCCTTTCCTTCTTGTTGGGATTGTCACCCCTTGGGCTCTGAGTATCTTCTCCTTAAGGAACGACCACTCATCTTGGCAACTATCTTGTGCTCATAATACTGGTGTTACACAACAACCTCTGCATGTACTTTGAAGGTCTTCTGGAGTCAGATCTAATGGCCATATACATATTAGATAGGCTTAACAAGAAGCTCAGGGAAAAAGGTAAAAAACAGCAAAAGGTAAATTGTGCCACTGTGGTAAAGATGTAATTTACTCTTCTGAATCAGGACGGGCTTCCCAGGCTGCAAGCCATGGGAATTTCCATGACTCCATACCTGTTAAGCCAGTGGTGTCAAATTCACAAGACCCTGCAGGCCAGATGAATGGCATGGGGCCAGCCCATGGGCAAAAGGCACAGGGCAGGGACCACAGACCAGATGGGGCCCACATACTGGCCCCACATGCTGAATCCAGCAGGCAACCTGGCACTGTGAGCAACTCACCACCCAGACTGGGCCCATGCAGCACAGGGCCAATCCAGCATGCACTCCATGCAGTGTGTGGGTCAACTCTAAGACCCATAAGCAGCACCGCAGCCACAGAATAAGTTTCCTGAAATGGCTTCACAATTGTAATGAAACCATATTTAAAAAAAGAAACAAACCAAAACAATCAAGCAAACAAAACTCTTCATATTTAGTTCAAGAGTAATTGGTCACATATTATAACAGTATTATTTGGATGTGAAAGTTATAACAGTTGCCTGGAGTAAGGGCTAATTCTATATTTTAAAAACAGCACAATATGAACAAGAGCAGTACAAAATTCCCTCACATTTCCCAACTCTACTTTAACACCAACAGAAAGGGTTACTTCTCAGAGCAGGCTTAGTGATTTTGTCTTCATGCCCATCAAGCCTCATTCACTCTGCTGAGCCTGCCAACACAATGGCATTTTGAGGTAGACACCTGTCCATTGGGAGGGAGGATGAGACAACTACCTCATTTTAAATAGTCCAAAATGCAGCCGTCACATGGTGATAACTTTCAATCACTATAAACCTGCCTCCAAACTGAAATCATTACCAAGAGGTGAAAATCTCCATATCACATATCCAATTCCCTGGCCAGTTATACCTCTTTGTAAAATGATTTTTGACAACTATTCATCTCAATTTTCCTACTCTTATAGATCTAATTTGCACACCTTGAAATGTGCTTTAAATATTATTTGGACTGAGTTCTAGTGAAGATTTTTGTCAAATCCCATGACAAATATTCTACTGTTTGTAATCTGCTGGAACTGAGATAACAGAAAGTACTGCTTCAAAATAAGGTATGTTCAAGTAAAAATTGGTATAATGTGGAGCTCTAGTGGTAGTAAAGAAGTAAGACAGCATGCAACACCAGCTGCAACAATGGCAGAGACTGTTCCTCAGCCTGAAAACAGAATGGTTGTTAAGTGACCAGATCAATGCAAACTAATATGAACAATAAACCCTGAAAGAGAAAACTAGGGGTTCAAATTCATAGATGCTTCAGGATCACAGACTAGATCTGTGTGTGTAATGCTGTGGGCAATCTACCTTTTAATGTTACATCTTGGACTTCAGTCATCTTCATGTATTTAAGCTATAAGAACGTAAGCGAGTAATAGAAATGTATTTATTAGCCAAAATCAGTTATAAAAATCATTGGGTTTTTTTATTAACATTATGAAATATGTCACATCAAAACTAACTGAGAGAGTTTAGTAATTCTTTGTATTCTGTTAAACACTCTGGCTCTAACAAACAACATTGCCCATTTCATTCAACCGATAAAGGTTCCTAAACGGGCTACTAGGGTACTCTATCAGTTATATTATCAAAAAGATATATTATTGTCACAGGGACTTTCATTCCTGTGGTTCAATAACCCCTTCAAGATGAGTCTGTCATGAGTTAAACCTTTGACTAGAAGAGTTCCTTCCATAAATACCTACCTTACAGTTGCATGTCTTACTGCAAATATGTTTTTGAAAAACGTGCATCAAATATTAACTCATTATCATCCCTACTCTTGATGCATGTCAACAATCCCAGCTTTTCTAAGGGGAAGACATTTTTGTAAATGGAAGGACATATACAGCATACTATACTTCCATGGTACCCTATTATAAAGTGTGCTAGATTTGCTACAGCACCTTGTGAATCATTAAGCATCATATTACCAATGCCCAAGGAATAGAAACAGAGGGAGAGAATCTCAAAAGAAGTCTAAGACAAAATAAATCATCATCAGTTATCTAAATCTGATATCTAAAACCAACAGCAGAAGACAACAAAACATACAGAAAGCATGTAACACAAAAAAGCATATGAATATATTATTCAGGTCTACAAGCAACTGACCCCCGTATCACAGGGCCCAATCCTGAAGTTCAGCAATGCTGTTGGGACTGCTGCCTGAGTAAGAACTTCAGGACTGTGTCCATATTCCTATAAATAATATATATTATGAGAAAAAGTTGTTTTCTAAAATACCATTTTATCTATGATGGGGGAGGGGGGAACCCAGATAACGAAAAAGCTCATTTTTATTATATAACAACTAGATCCTAAATATATGTCATTTGTGTTTAAAGCTATTTCATATATCAAAAAGCTACACAGTGCCAACAGAAGCACTAACTGAATACCATGACATTAAAAATCAGAATACTTGTTAAGCTGTGGCACTGGCTTGCTTACACCTTCCACTTATCATGCATTTCCCAGCCTTATCTTACTGTCATGAATATTTTATTTTAAATCTTATGTGACCCCAGAACGGGAAAGGCTAATATTCTACCCAAGGCACACTTTATGAAAAGAAGTGCCCCTCTGCCCCTCCTATTACATGTGATATTTGATGTTGCTACATGTTCATTTGACAGACAGATAAAAAGAAGTGTCAAAATCCCCTGATACCAAGGAAAGATTTCTGAGCTGTTTCTGGTTACCTGGTGGACAGTTGCACTCTGGAGGCACTTCTCTTGCTATTCTTATTTTTGCCAAATGCTCATAGGATTTCTGTGGGTGAAAGGAGCAACATTAACAAACTTGGTAAGCATTCACTCAGGCTACTACAGCCAGGCTTCTAAATTGGCATATGTTAAACTGTGATTTACAGTGATTTGATAGACAGCATAACTAACAGTTGACTTGGATGGGATTCAGACTGTATCAGATTAAGACGGTATCAGTTCCCCACCCCCCCAAAATCAAAGAGCATGACAATTGAGTTTTGTCCAACTTTGCTGGCCCTGTGCTGTGTTACATCCCCATCCAAACACCTCCACACCCCCACCGAGCATCCCAGGCATACAGAATCAATGTAGGGATGTGGATTTGGTCAGATCTGCAAGTCCCGGGCACTAAGACAATCAACGGTTCAGATCTGAAGGTCAACTGCTCTATCACGTTATAGCACCAATTGTTGCCAACGGCACTCCGGCTACTGCCACATGGACTCCGGACACCCTCATAAGACCCTTGGAAACGCAGACCCCCTACTCAAAGAGCCACATCTGAGAGGTTCCTTTCTAGTACAGGTTGTATCTGATGCCCACCAAAAGAAAAGAAAAAAACCCATACCTCTATTAGCAATAGTAATAACCAGCCCAAGAGACAGATTTGGCTAGAATCTGTGGGTGCAATATGAAATACATGCCCAGATCCTTGGCAGCCAAGGGTCTTTGCGTAGATATGATGTCTTTTATTAGACCAACTAAAGAGTTGGGAAGCTTGTTCTTTGCAAGCTTTTGGGCACAGACACCCTTCAACCCTATGCCTGAAGAAGGCGGTTTGTGCCCAAAAGTTTGCAAAGAACAATTTTTCCAACT